ACGTGGTCGCTCTTTACCCAAGTATCCCTATCGCTGAAGGGGTGGAGGCCGTTGCTAGAGTCCTGCAGCAGCACATCGAGTCTGTTGACACATTTGGTTTAAGCGTGGAGCAGATCGAAGAGCTGTTAACCTTCGTTCTAAGATCCAATTATTTCAGATTTGGTGAGAAGGTCTACCACCAGAGGGAAGGCATCGCCATGGGTAACAACCTAGCGCCCCCGTTTGCGATTATCTTCATGCATGACCTCGAAACCTCGCTGTTGCTAAACTCGCCTGGTGCTCCCGTACTCTACAAGCGTTATATTGATGACATCATTATGCTGTGGACACTGGGGGCCGCGCTTCTCCGCCAGCTGATTGCATTCTTCAATACCGCCAATGCGAGCATCAAGTTCACGTATCAATCTTCGGAGGAAACTGGGTCGGTTGACTTTATGGACACGACTATTCATGTCTCCTCCGAGGGCGCAATATCATTCGAGCTGTTCCGCAAAGCTTGCCACAGTGGCCTCGTCTCAGACTTCAACTCGTGCGTTCCGCAACAGCAAAAACTCGCCATCGCGTCTTCGGAATTCCTCCGCGCGGCCCGCCTTTCCTCTGATCCTGCAGCCCGCCAGCGAAGTGAGCAAAAGGTTATTGACACATTAAAATTCAACAACTTTCCTGACAAAGTTATCGCGACTGCTCATGAACGAGCCAGACGACCTGCTAAACAAAAGAAAGACTATCGATCCACGTTGAAGTTACCATTCAAAACGGATGCCATCCACTACAGGGTCCACCGTCTTCTAAACAAATACAATCTAAATGTACAGATAATCTACAAGAATGCAAGGCTTTCCAACAGCGTCACTAAGTCCAGCCTCACTGGACCTTGCTGCCGTAAGTGGGTGGATCCCGCTGCCCCGAGGCGACGAGGAAGGCCTAAAGCCGCCTGCGTTGCATGCCAATCTAGCGAGGTAGAATGCACAAGACGCAACGTGGTTTATCGTCTGACCTGCAAGTGCTCGGAGAAGTATGTTGGAGAGACTGGCCGCAGTGTAGCAACGCGAACAAAAGAACACAATGATAACTCACGCAACAAGACGTCTGGAAAAGCCCTGGGCGAGCACTACCGACTTCACCATGGCGGCGAGGTACTGCCGCTTGGCGAGTCGGCATTCACAGAGGTTCGCGTCCTTGCCACTGAGTCGGATCGGGCCAGGAGGAGAATACGCGAAGCAATACAAATTCGCGACACGAGCCCCAGCATAAACAATAACGCAGGGTGGGACCTCCTGTGAATTCTCTGGTGAAGCCTTGTACATATTTCTGGCCCTGATACTCGCTCTTCCTGGATGGTGGTGGTTTAGCACCCCTTGAACTAGTGCACTGTTACTACTACTGTTGTTGCTAGCGCCTGCAATTACATGTCTGCACGCACCTAGTGCACATGTACATTCTGTTTGTTGCTTGTACCTGTGCCATTTTTAGAGTTGTCGCGTATTGCGTTATTTCTATACCTGGTTTTTTTTGGTGATGTTTTGTCCTTTTGTTCTCTCTCTCGTCATAGTGCATGCAGGTGTGATTTGTTATCAGTTTGCAGCGCTCCTCGTATATTAACCCATCCTAACCGGTGTGCCCACTTCATTCCTGATGATGGTTATTTCATGACCGAAACGTTGAAATATAATATTTTTCTGGTGAAAAGCAGTTATTTGAGTGTGAGCCAGTGTTGCTCACAACCAATTTTTTACTTATGAAGCTGCGTGATGCGTCCTACAAGATTTTATATCGGTTTTCTTCCTCAAGGACAAGGACGCCATGGTTGTACGTGAAGTGGGCATTCAAGTTGGAGAGGTGCATATGTCAACTCAACTTTCTCTTGCAATGTCGCAGGGAACAATTTACGCCAGTGTTCATCCAGCACTCAATTCCTCTGGCATGTGGGACCCGTCACTCCAGAGTGGTTCGCCGGGAGAAGTATGTGCGAAGCCTGCTGAATGATGCCATAGAAGATAAGTTCAATTGGAGAGCTCTCTGCTACCGGAACTTCACCACCTACCGGGCTGAACTCCGACCATACTCCAAGCAAGAGTACGTTTGGCTCCGACATCTCTGTGATGCCGTTCGCAACAAGGAGTATCGCAGCTCGAGACGACGCCTATCCAGGAAGTTGGACTGGCTAAGGCAGCAAGCTGATTTGACGAGAACTCGTGCAGGGAGAGTTAGGGCGGAGACAGCAGCGGGTGACGCTGGCCAGGACCGGTCAGCGTGCGTTCTCGACTTAGATCACTGCGTACCCAATGAGACAGTAGCTGTGCTGCAGAACGGCCCTGGCTTTGTGCCATCCACTGGCCGAGTGGGGAAGAGAGACTTGGAGGATGTGGAGGTTGGAGTCGAGAGAATGGCCTATTCGCTACGGTGGTGGGCGAACGCAAATGTGGAGCAGCAGAACCAGGCCAATGCAGAACCGGACACATTCGACAGCAAAATTTGGCATATCAAAGCCCACGGTTTTGAACAGGGTCCAAAGCTGCCAAGGGAAGAAGAATTCGGCTTGGCCAGTTTCAAGCGCGAGGTCATGAATATCTACCGAACAGCGTCAGCTCCCCGGCCTAACATGTCTCGAAAAGACCGCGAGCGGCTTACCGACCTCCGCGACGATGATTCCGTGGTCGTCAAGAGGTCCGACAAGAGCAATAAGTTTGTGGCGATGAAGATGGCAACGTACCTTGATAAGGCCGAGACTATCCTGTCAGATGGGACAAAGTTCACACCCGTCAATGTCACCATCGATGATTGGGAGAAGCAAACGCGCACCATCCTTCAACGCGTCTGTGGTGGTACACTAGAGAAGGACCTGTACCAAGCCATACTCCCTGGCGACAACAGGTTTCCGGAGATGTATGGCCTACCTAAAGACCACAAAGCCACGGTACCGCTTCGGCCAGTTGTGTCAGCTGTTGATAGCCCGGTGACCAATATTTCTATTGTCCTGGAGCGTATACTCAACCAATGCCTGAAGTATGTCCCAGCACATCTGAAAAAACACGCTGGAAGCACTGGAGGATATCCGGCAAGTGTATCCCGACCTACAAGCCCCAGCGGGGACCATCATCGTTACAATGGACGTGGTCGCTCTTTACCCAAGTATCCCTATCGCTGAAGGGGTGGAGGCGGTTGCTAGAGTCCTGCAGCAGCACATCGAGTCTGTTGACACATTTGGTTTAAGCGTGGAGCAGATCGAAGAGCTGTTAACCTTCGTTCTAAGATCCAATTATTTCAGATTTGGTGAGAAGGTCTACCACCAGAGGGAAGGCATCGCCATGGGTAACAACCTAGCGCCCCCGTTTGCGATTATCTTCATGCATGACCTCGAAACCTCGCTGTTGCTAAACTCGCCTGGTGCTCCCGTACTCTACAAGCGTTATATTGATGACATCATTATGCTGTGGACACTGGGGGCCGCGCTTCTCCGCCAGCTGATTGCATTCTTCAATACCGCCAATGCGAGCATCAAGTTCACGTATCAATCTTCGGAGGAAACTGGGTCGGTTGACTTTATGGACACGACTATTCATGTCTCCTCCGAGGGCGCAATATCATTCGAGCTGTTCCGCAAAGCTTGCCACAGTGGCCTCGTCTCAGACTTCAACTCGTGCGTTCCGCAACAGCAAAAACTCGCCATCGCGTCTTCGGAATTCCTCCGCGCGGCCCGCCTTTCCTCTGATCCTGCAGCCCGCCAGCGAAGTGAGCAAAAGGTTATTGACACATTAAAATTCAACAACTTTCCTGACAAAGTTATCGCGACTGCTCATGAACGAGCCAGACGACCTGCTAAACAAAAGAAAGACTATCGATCCACGTTGAAGTTACCATTCAAAACGGATGCCATCCACTACAGGGTCCACCGTCTTCTAAACAAATACAATCTAAATGTACAGATAATCTACAAGAATGCAAGGCTTTCCAACAGCGTCACTAAGTCCAGCCTCACTGGACCTTGCTGCCGTAAGTGGGTGGATCCCGCTGCCCCGAGGCGACGAGGAAGGCCTAAAGCCGCCTGCGTTGCATGCCAATCTAGCGAGGTAGAATGCACAAGACGCAACGTGGTTTATCGTCTGACCTGCAAGTGCTCGGAGAAGTATGTTGGAGAGACTGGCCGCAGTGTAGCAACGCGAACAAAAGAACACAATGATAACTCACGCAACAAGACGTCTGGAAAAGCCCTGGGCGAGCACTACCGACTTCACCATGGCGGCGAGGTACTGCCGCTTGGCGAGTCGGCATTCACAGAGGTTCGCGTCCTTGCCACTGAGTCGGATCGGGCCAGGAGGAGAATACGCGAAGCAATACAAATTCGCGACACGAGCCCCAGCATAAACAATAACGCAGGGTGGGACCTCCTGTGAATTCTCTGGTGAAGCCTTGTACATATTTCTGGCCCTGATACTCGCTCTTCCTGGATGGTGGTGGTTTAGCACCCCTTGAACTAGTGCACTGTTACTACTACTGTTGTTGCTAGCGCCTGCAATTACATGTCTGCACGCACCTAGTGCACATGTACATTCTGTTTGTTGCTTGTACCTGTGCCATTTTTAGAGTTGTCGCGTATTGCGTTATTTCTATACCTGGTTTTTTTTGGTGATGTTTTGTCCTTTTGTTCTCTCTCTCGTCATAGTGCATGCAGGTGTGATTTGTTATCAGTTTGCAGCGCTCCTCGTATATTAACCCATCCTAACCGGTGTGCCCACTTCATTCCTGATGATGGTTATTTCATGACCGAAACGTTGAAATATAATATTTTTCTGGTGAAAAGCAGTTATTTGAGTGTGAGCCAGTGTTGCTCACAACCAATTTTTTAATAATAATAATAATAATAATACATAATACATAAAAGCACACAAATGCACACATGCACCACCCCCTCCCCTCTGTCACAAACACACATTCATTCTCTCACCTCTTATTAACGCTTGCACCCATATCCGTCGCTATGGTGTTGGCTCTTACTACAGATGACGGCAAGGGTGGCTGGAGTGAGGACGGCTGCATTACTTTCTACAATAGCACAACAGGAAATAGACCAATTTGCCAGTGCAATCATCTAACCAACTTTGCAGTTCTCTTCGTAAGTTCCCGTGAATAACGTGTGTGTGTTTGTGTGTGTGTGTGTGTGTGTTTGTGTGTGTGTGTTTGTGTGTGTGTGTGTGTGTGTGTGTGTGTGTGTGTGTGTGTGTGTGTGTGTGTGTGTGTGTGTGTGCGTATGGGTGTGTATGTGTTTGTGTTTGTGTGTGTGTGTGTGTGATGAGTCATTCGGCCTTCAAGATCGGACATGTCACTTATATCAAAATCAGACTGTACTGGTCCATGTCCGTGAAGTGTGTTACTTTCTCTCTTTGCCCGCATTCTCTACAGACAAGGGTGGTATCACCTCACACGTCTAAAGCACAGGAAGCACTCAAGTATGTGTCAATTGTGGGATGTGCCATATCCATGGCAGCTCTAGTAGCTACCATCATCACCATAGCTTTAGTCAAGTAAGTTTAAAAGAGCAATTGTCTCAGTGATAATGTTTCAGAGTAATTCATATACAGATCACCACGTGCGGTTCATTCACCGTCCGTAGAGAGCTCAATTTGCCGAAGGCAAAGAGCGGAATACACAGACAGAAGAACAAGCAGTTGCAGTTCTGTAACTTTGAGTTTGAGGAACTGAATCGATGATCAGACGAAAATTTAACCACTTTCAGCTGGGCCATACGTATACTTTTCCTCACCCGTTTAGAACGTCTTTCCAGATAATTACCAAGCTTCACGCCCACCCACCATCCATCAATATTTGGCTGGCCTGAACCTTGAGTATAAACCATGATCTCCTGGCAGTTGTGTCGCTGAATCAAGGTTCCGTATCACAGTGCTCAGAACTGCTGATTTGAACATGTATACTGCTTGACAAGGCATGTTTTCCTGTGTACCATCTGCGTTTCTGATACAGGAGAGTGCGTAAGAACCTCCATCATCGCATGATCCTGGGATTGAGCATAACTCTACTGCTGTTCCTGGCAATATTCACCGTGGTTCTCTACTATGAAAATCTGCAGAAGAGCCCGGCGGTGTGCAAGACACTTGCCATCATACTGCACTATCTACTGCTCTGTGCATTCATGTGGATGTCCGTGGATGCCGTGTTCATGTATAAACAAATCGTGGTCGTTTTTGACAACTCCAGCCAGCACCTCAAGACACTTCTCTTCTGGTCCATATTTGGTAAGCATCAGTCAAGAGATCATCAATTTTTATTAACATGGCAAAATGCTGTAAACAGAACTGCCCTGATGTTCCTAAGGGGGTATAAATTTCCTTTAAAGACTCGGTGGAATCACTATACATGTATAAAATTAAATAGCTTAAAAATACAAAACCTATTCATGTAGCTAGGCACCGTTGCGGTTCGTTCCCATAAAATAGACTTTGAAAACTTTTGTGTTCTCGCTTCCTTTAGAAAATCATACAGATCCTTCATGCAACTCCATTGATAACATATTCATCAGGCTGCACACTCAGTCACATTGCAATTTCCCACAGTCGGTCACAAGTTGTTGTTCAACGGTTATGTCGCCATGACCATCCTCATGGTGATAATGACTAAACACATTGGCCACAGGTGCCATCCCAATCCATCCAATTTATTTACCTACTTTAAGATTAAAATTCTTGTGTTTGGGACCTTTTTCTTTATAGTCATTTCCAATAGAATTTTTACCCAGAATGGTTTGCACCTTCCCCTCAAACACTCGGAAAATCGAGCAGCAGGGGGGGGGGTGAGGGAGGGGTAAGGGGAAATATCTCACAACCGCTGGCACAAGTGCCGTTAACTCCATCAGCCGCATCCATGTACCAATTGGTGTACCCCGCCACAAGTTCCCAGTTGACTTTGGGTAGCACCACGGCTGGAAAACCCGCTCGCAGTCAGGACTTGAGCCACGTACTTCTCATATAATTATCAAGCATGGTCTTTGAAAAACCTACTGTGTCTGCCTGGAATTCTTTTAATAGCCCGGGCGAATTTTTTAAACTAAGTTAACGACATTTTTAGCTCCTTGTTCTTGGACTTTTCCACCCTCGAAGAGGACTGGAGGTACTACACCTGCAATTGAGTGTGGTAATCACAGATTGGAATGGGTTTGGGAGGGATTCTGCTGCGGTATACTGTATTAAAATTGTCCTTTTCTTTTCAGATTGAAACGGGTTTGGGAGGGATTCTATTGTCGTACCGTACTCGCGCAATTAGTACCCCTGGGGCACTATTTTTCAATTTCTATCACAGATGGGGCACAATTAAAGAGACGGCACTATTTTCTCAATGCTGGTACATTTACGTCATCCCGCATAAAACAAAGAACTGAAAGAAGCCAATGAAAAACAGAGCCTGAATTTCACTGTACCTAAATTTTACTGTAAACTATCACGACTCAACAGAAAGGGCAACAAGAAATCCGGTTTTGACCGTGAAACCACCAGTTCAATGACATGGACGAGAACATTACCAAAAGAACACCAGACTTGCACATGCGCTTGTTTAGAAGCCTTGGGGGGGGGGAGGGGGAGCACCATTCAGGATAGGCTTTATTTTTTCACTGGCTCATAGAGACTGGCGCACTATTCGAGATAGGGCACTATTCAAAAGAGGGCTTCAATCGCGCAAGTACGGTATACTGTATTAAATTGTCCTTTGCTTTTACTACTCTTTTCTACTGTCTATGCAGTCATCCCGTTTGTAATTGTCGCCATAACGACAGGTGCTTCGACTTCAGATGGATACGGTGGCAACGGACTGTAAGTTTGTACACATGAGTGTGCAGAGTGTTGTACGAGAACCTGTGCGAATCATTTTCCATCCTTCTTTCTTCCTGCATACTTTTACACAAAGGCACACAATGAATGCCTTTCCTTTTAGATTGTTTCCCCATGATTTCCATCGCTTGACATTGTTTACTAAAGTAGCTCAATGGCAATTCAGCTAGTCCTCCTTGTTGCGATATTCAAAACAATGACTATGATTCTTATGATGCATAATTATGTATTTTGGTGATTTGTGCAGGTGCTGGATCTCGATGGACGCAGTGTTCTACGCAGGCCTGGTGGTGCCAATGGCTCTCTCACTCTTGCTCAACGGGTCCATTCTGGTCAGGGTGGCTGTCACGCTGAGAGGTCGCGGACGCAAGGTCAGCACCGTAGCGCAGGGAGAGCACCGCAAGAACTTTCCCGTGCTCAGTATAGTCGTGCTGCTGTCCGTTCTGCTTGGGCTAACCTGGCTCTTTGGATTCCTGGTCATCATAGACGATAACATTGCTCTACAGTATATCTTTACCATCCTCAACTCGCTGCAAGGCCTGGGCATCTTTATCCACATCATACGGGGCAAGGAGATGAGGAAAGGCCTGAAAGAAATCCAGCGCATGCCGACAGCTTGGACAAATCTGACCACCGGCAACACCAGCACACTAAGAACATCAACGCTTGGTAAATCAGCACCCGGCAACACCAGCACACTCACCAGCAACACCAGCAACTCTCTGCCAAGGACCATAGCTGAAAAGCAGCCAGCCACTCATGCAACAACCCCGGACCGATCAGATCTTTCTCTTTCCCTGGACAAGTCGCATGACGGCACGTCGACCCAGAATGAAGGTGCAACGGTTTCGCCCGACGAGTTTTCCAATTGGAATCCGTACACGCCGTCTCCGCTAGCTGCTGACAAACCACTCATGTCCAGCACATCCGCAGACACTTCAGAAGAACTGGAATTGAAGAACCTGGCTGAAGGCCAGCCACTCACGCATCCGCCCAACGTCACCTTCCAGGGCGGCAGAGCAGCGTCAAAGTTGAAGTTCAAGTTCCAGCCGTACCAAAGTGCCGAGGCTAGGCTGGACGCATCATACCTGATCGAGAACACAGCGTGCGAAGATGATTGAGCTACCTTTTCTCACGGTTGCATGCCAATAGAAACGTCTAGAGCAGCATGAATTAATCTCCTGGGGCGAGTGGCAGTTGTTTCAGCTGCAGAATGCTTCTCCTGCTGTATGTTCTCTTTGTTTCCTTTCCTTCCTATTTTGGTTCGTAGATTCTTCTCAATTCTATATATTTCAACATCTTTGCTGTCTCATATCTCCAATCTATCTACATATCCATCTATCTATCTGTTAATCCTTCCATCCGTGCATCTATCCATTTGTCTGTCCATCCACCAACAGTAAAGGACGATCAAATCATCTTCTAACAACATGGCATTGAAATGCAACTGCAGGTGTCATGCTCAAAGCAACTTTCATGCCAAACATATCGAACTGTGTCTTTGGGCAATATCTTCCATCTTGACTGCTTTGCTCCTTTCTCAAACTCGCAGGCCGTGGTGTACCTTTCCTCCGTAGCTTGTCTTAGAGCTTCTTTCCCGGATTTTTTCTTTAGCGTTTAGCCCTTCTCTTTCTTAAAATGTTTTGGCGACTTTGGTGGTGAGTCTGATCTACTCACCTCCCACCGCTGTAGGAGCTACATATGTGCCTTAACCCTTGAGGGTGGTGGCGTTCTTTTTCCTAAATTGAAACCTACTCTTATGTACACTCTTCCACATACTTGCATACATAGACAGTTGTCTAAAGTCCCTCGGCTGCTTACAGCGGAAAGGGACTTGTTTGATTCATTGCTGTGTAATATTTGTACTTGCATACATAAATGTCAGCTACATAATTGGTGTTTTTTTTCGCTGAGTGGATCATGTACAGGTACTAGACCGAGCTTGCCCAAGCTAAAATCTGCCTATTCCTGTTTCTACTCATACCCAATTCAGTTCTTCTTCATCTCAAGACTAGTAAAATCATTCCTTTTCATTTTGCACTTTTTTCGCATAAGTAACTCTCATTCAAAAGTGCCTCTGATGTCATTTGAATGTACCTACATGTACTTTGTAGTGCAGTCTGTTCTAAGACCCTGTCAATGTACACGGGTCATTTTTGTCAGTGCTGAGAAAGTGAAGTTAACCATACTAAGCTTTCGGCGTGGAGACAGTCCTATTCTGAGAGTAATAGAGATCACCAATGTTGCGAACCTCACAACACACCGTCACATTGTGTAGAGATCTGTAGAGTTTGTTCAGTTCCAAAATTAATAGGTATAATTATTTTAAATACTCAGAAAAGAACACACTTCAGGCTCTTTGCGAAAATCTTGAAAGTTTTCGGTTTCACAAGTACACTTTCAACCCTTCTCATCAGTTGAAATACAGACAAAGGGAAAGGAACAAGAACAGTGGATCGAGTACAGTGAGGAGGTGATATAGTATCATCGCATTCTTGTCTCAGAGGAAACTGTGTAATCACTTACATTGTGTTGCTGGTTGAATTACGCTCACCGTTACATTCCTTCTGGAGAGATGGCAACGAAAATGTTCAAGGATACCTAACCTGTGCTAAAGTTGTCTGTATGGAATGCGTTCAAGGATACCTAACCTGTGCTAAAGTTGTGTGTAAGGAATGCACAACTACCTGTTACTTGCATTATTCATTGTGTTGATTTCATTTCTGTCTCCGCGAAAACTGTTTAGAAGAGGTTGGTGCGACTTCGGCGATAGTAGGGGAAGAGTGTGTTGCTCCCTACATGGGAGCTCGCAGTTTTCCTGCCGACTTGAAAACTGTTTAGGTATAATTATTAACTAGTTATCACCTTTTTTGTTCTCACCCTTAGAAAACCAGTTATTGAATGTTGCATAAATTTAGGTAGATATGAGTTGCGTATTCCGCTGAAATTAGATTTCGGAATTGAACAAACATAGTAAACCTGTACACGCCGTGACATTGTGTGGCGATGTGCCGCTGTGGGCAACATTCATACTTTTCACTGCTCTCATGCTTCACTTCTCTCTATGTTTATGTGTACACAAGTCATAGGGCATGATAGAGTCAAAATGACCAACACCAGAATTACACAGCATGTCTGTCGTACAATGTACAACACCAACTCAGACCAATGAAACGAATGTCTCACGATCCATGTGAGGATGCACGGGGTATGCTTAGAGTATGCCGAGACCGGCAAACAACCCTTGTGGTGTCTACGGTCGGGTCTGTGCCTCACCATCCATGTAGACCCATATGTCTTGTTGACAGATGCAGCAGTAACATGGAAACATGTGGGCTGAGTGTTAAATCAGATTATTTTACATTTACAAATTGTTTTGGGTTGTAGTTGCATTTCTATTATTGATCAAGATGGTATTTTTGCCCGTACAAGAGGCTTGGAAAAAAGAAAAAAATATGGGCGCAAGTTATGCGATTGAGTCCACCAGCTAAACCAGATTTTAAACAGTCAGAATGTGCCCACATTTTTCCATGTTACAATTTGTTCCTTGGCCCACCTTCCGAGTTCTAGATGCAGCAGTGCTTTACATTCTCTTCATACAGGATTGGACCATGCATGCATATTGGACCATGCATGCATATTGGACCATGCATGCATATTCCCGCTTACACTGTACAGTGTATGTGGAACTCACTTAGTACGTACTAGTACTAGTACCCGCGTAAGACGTACACCTGCTTAGTCGTACTGTCCTTTTTCGTTGCAAGGATTCCACTCATCATGATTTGCATACATGTACTGTACTACAGTGCTGGCAACTGAAATCCAACCCCCTGAGCGGTGCGCTCACATTGCAAAGACCCAACACGAGATAGTAAAACTACGAAATTGAGACCGCTAGAATGTGAACGCATCTCTAAGGGGTCGGATTTCAGTTGCCAGCACTGCATAGTATATAAATATTTGCGGACACAGCGTACTCTGATAAGACGTACAACTCGTGTATGACGGACTGTTTCAGCAGGTCCCAGAGCTAGCCTAGCATGCTACATACTTTTTAAAAGGTGTTTTCATTCACCCTTTACACATGATAGTTTCGCTTGACAAGTACATGTACTTAAGCATGTTGACAGCGCGGAGGAAGCTGTTTGCAGCTAGGGAAGCCTGGCGTAGCTGCACCACGAAACACGGTTTTTGTTGGTTTTTTACAGAATGCACCTCCTACTGATAGACCATAGTCGTACATTTCTCCGTGCAATAGATAACTTCAAACAGTTTGACATACTGCACATGTATCATATTGTGGGGCGGCAGGAGAGTCAACTTTGGATAAGAAGTAGCTCGAATACTAAGTCCTTTTCTCCACTCCCCGAGGGCTTACGTTTTATCCGAGTTCCACTATAATTCAAAGTAGACGCATTCAAATGACATCAGAGGCACTTTTGAACGAGAGATACTCATGCAAAAAAGTGCACAATGAAAATGAATCATTTACGTGAATTGGAGGAGAACTAATTCGTGTAGAAGTAGAAATGGAGTTGGAAAAAGCAGATTTTAGCTATGCTGAGTTTCGTCTAGTACTTGTACATGATCCAGCCGTTGAAAAAGTAACACTTTGGACATGACTTTTGTGTATGCTAAGTATGTGAATGAGTGCATATACACGTACATGCAAGAGTAGGATTCAATATGCAATGCATTTAGGAAAGAAGAACGCCACCACCCTCGAGGATCAAGCCACAGAATGATGCAGCTCCTAGAACGTCGGGAGGTGAGTAGACCTGTCCTGTGCACCTGGCTCAGAGCCTGTGGTGCCTTGTTGCGCCATGAGTGATACACACATACACACATGCACATACGAGTATGAGTGCACTTGCTTTCCATGCGGCCGTACAAGATTTGGTTTGTCATAATCGAAAACTATTAGGAAACCAGAGGCCACATGCCACGTACTGCTCTTTTCTCTTTCATATCTGGCTTGCAAGTGTTGAGTTTCGGAGAGAAAAGAGCAGTACGTGGCATGTGGCCTCTGGTTTCCTAATACTTTGATATTCTCCGTGAAGACCAAATTTAAAATTACAACATACGAAAACTGCTCGCTATAAAGGGTCAATTTTGCATGGGCAGAAACAGGGACATGGACAAGGGTTCGCTATATCCTGAATTCGCTTTACGCGAGTGCATTGTAAGTGGAGTCGAGTGTAGCAGCAAATACAGCAGGGTCCAGGAGATTCAATACCCAGCCGGGTGTACCGGATTTTAGGGGATTCTACTTGGTCCGACTTATTAAAACGTGCGTTTCGCTTCGAACGTCAGCCAAACAAATTCAAATAATCTCAGGACGGAACAAACTTTCCAGCTACCTAACACTATCCTTCAGTTGTCGATTTGTGATGTTGAAGAAGAAATGGCTCCAACCCCAAAGGAGGCAGTGTCTCAGGATCCTAGTCGACTCGAGTATTTGGCGTGCAAATTTTGTCGGCAGAGGACTCCTGTTGCTTCTCGCGCAACACAGAGAAGGCCTGGTGCTGAAATCAACACCCCACTGCGATGGGGAATTGTCACGGAGTACCAGAAACTCCTGGGTGATCGTTCTCGAGTGCTTCCTGGCGGATTGAAATCGCCGAGTGCAGTCGCTGTTTCCTTGGAAGAATCAAGTAACAGCAAACGCGTCATCCAGAAACTCGTGCAGAAAGCACCTGCATCGCTCCGTCCAGTTTGTGCTGATCTCTCTCGCATTCGTTCACGAGGTGGCGGCCGACGAATCAAGAGTACAGAAGAGATTGTCGAGAAGTTGATCGATATAAACAACCGCCCTTGAGGTCGACTTTCAGGCGACAACCTGGCTGGAAAACTGAAGCGCAGAAAGGGTGAATACGTGAATGGTGCGGAGTCCCCGCCGACTCCTCGGAGCCGCGATCGCGATGCGTCACAAGATCGCCAGTCTCCGGGGCCAGTGGATTCGTGAAACAGGCAGGGAAGAGCACGCATGGTCTGATGCAGCTGACTGTGTCGACAGTCATGTCGACACAGATCAGACTCAGTAGCTCTACGCGCGCGGCACACGGTGATGAGAAGCAGGGAGTAGTACTCCCTGATGAGAAGTGATTTTTTATGCATGGTGGTTTACTTGTTCGCCTCATTTGAAAGTGTCGTGGGAGCGTCAGGCGAAAACACCTACAGCCACCATTCTGGCAGTCGTACTGCACGAGGAGGAGGCGAAGTCGATCGTCTAAATCGTGCCTATAGAGTGAAAAAATCAAGGAAGCGCAGTGTAGCTTGGAGGAGATGAAAAAATGTCGACGTTTTGCAGGCTGACGCACTTGAAGAAGCGCCCTGAGACACCAGCAGAGATGAAAACTACAAGGTCAGGCCAAGAAACGACACAGTAGTAATCTATCTATCGTCTCTTGGTCGATTTTTTAGTACAGGTGCTCCTTTGGACATAGGCTTGAGGTTTGAAGCGAAGCGCACATTTTAATAAGTCGGACCAAGTATGAGATTTTACGGGATTCTTCGAGATTTTAGGAGATTCTTTGAGATTTTAGGGGATTTTTTCGATATTCCGTACGTCTGCACATCATGCATTAGGCTTATATCGGGATCATATTGGGATCATATCCGGCTGCGCTGCAGCAGTAACAGCACCTGCCTCCAACAACATTCACTTACTGTCAGGCTCACGCGTCTGCTGGTCTTCACCTGTGGAGTCAGCCATGCTTGCTGGTAGCAGATGTAGAGACACACACAAGACCACACATTTACACACACACACATACACACACACACACACGCATACACGCACGCACACCAATACACATATAATATATGTGCATTGCAATAGAAATACATTCATCTGCAAGTGTTCTGCAGGTACGACCGCTGGTTTCATCTTACAACAACGGTAGAGGAGGTGGTAAAATTCTATGCAGTCTGGGCGAGGTAGCTGCGTGACTCACATACTTGACAAAACTTTGTGAAGCAAACCCCTACGCATAACTGGTGCTAACCCGGTGCATGCCCCGTGGTGAATGTTGGGATTTTTTTCTATTTTTTCTTTTCTTTACTACGTTCACATTCCCAGCTCGAAGCGAAAGATG